TTGGAAGATAGAAAAGATGGAGTCTTTATGCTTAAAAGTAATATTTTCAATTCTTGGGTCTGATGAGATATAAAAGTTAAAAATAAGGAATAATATGATAGTTTCCCTATTTTAAAATCAGGTCCAACTGAGAGAATTTTAGATTTGGATTGGTTTGATACTTTTAGTACGTAATTTAGTCATTTTTAGAGAATTCCAAAGTGTGTTTTGGTTATTTTAAAATCAGGTCCACCTGAGAGAATTTTAGATTTGGATTGGTTTGATACTTTTGACTCTTTCAGATGCAAGTCATTTTTTGGGGTCTGAAATGTTGGCTTAACAAAATTTAGTTTTCATTGTTAAATTTATGGAGTTTAGATTGGAGCTGAGCATTGCTTAACTGCAGCTGAGTTTCATGAAACTTGAAGGCCCCAAATCCATCCATTATTTTAAATTTCCATGAAGCAAGCTTTTGACCAAACATAGCGAAAGGGGTTTTTGAAAATTTTAATTTCAATTTTTAGAAGCATCAAATTTAGTGAAATTGAATTAAATATGGGCACATTTCAATTGAATATGGTTAACGAGCCCCTGAAATCTGACATTCTGTTAAAAAAAATTATGAAGATATTGCTTTGTGAGCAAACTTCTCGAGATATATCAGTAAATTTTGAATAAGTATTTGCCGTATTGGCTGTTACTCCCAATTCAGTGCAGCCATTACCATGCCCGGGTGTGACTGGTACTTGGATATGGTTTCTGAATCTGTTTGATAATTTAAGAGCATACATAATGAGGACTATTTTAGAGAGAGAGAGAGAGAGACAGAGAGACCCAACTTCCTCTTCTTATCAGTGGCAACTACAAACAGGTTGTGAGCTATGACTTCAAGGAAGAGAGGTTTGCCCATCTCCACCGTTTGGCAATAGGGTTCCCTGAATCAAGGTTCTTCTACCATGGGACCCCTGCTTCATCTTCATCAAAAGCAGCAGCAATAAAAGGTGAAGAATTGGTTAGAGCACAATTCCGTGAAGACCCATATGGTTGCTCTGGTTCTCTTCATGCAAAGAAGCTCAAACGAGACCCATTTCATCGAACGATCCCATATCCTAGGGGTTGTCCAGAGCTTGAAGGCTTGTTCAATTATTGTGGACCAGTTCCATATGCAAACTCCCTTCTATGGGAGTAGAGAACAGGTCCGGGTTTACCCGTGAAAATGTTGTATGTGGGGGGAGAGAGAGACTGTATTAGTAAAGTCATGCTCCTCATCAATGTACTTGGCTGGAGAGAGAGTGATAAAGAGAGAGAGAGAGAGAGAGAGAGAGAGAGAGAGAGAGCTGTGTAGTAGACAAAGTCA